ATGGAAAAAAAGCGCAAAATCTTCAATCCAGGCTGCTATCGTGTCTCCATAAAGTTCCTGTCAGTGTCTGTCTATGGATGGATCCATGGTTCTACTAGAATCCAGTCTCTGGTCACATTTCACCACCTGTTGAGGCTCTAAGTTGGACCAGACAAGGTTCCAGTTTTTACATATTTTAGCAAAATGTTGATCGTTGGTTGGAACCAGAAATTGGTGTTCATTAATAAATACGAGTTTCTTCAGTATAGTTTTATGCTTTATCGTATTAATCACTGAATTCCTGACATTCTTGGGTCTTTAATCCAACAGTGTGTCTTTGTTTTGTAAGATTTTTAATCAGTTTTATCTGATTTGGTATTTTAAAAAGCGTATCTTCTCTTGACAGTTACTGCTCCTTCATAAATACAGCATTTCTTCTGTTTGACTTCTTCTCGGCTCTGTTTTTTGTTTTGTTTTTTCCAATCAATTAATCTTAATTTAGCCAAAAACTAAAGTTGTTTCCACTTTGTTCTGGGACCTGAACGTTGAGGTTCACGTTTAAAGTCTCAGAGCTCAGATGTGCGACAGCTTTGTACCAGTTGAAACCGTAGATAAGAAACCTTCCCATGACTGAAACATTTGCAGGATCCCTTTCTGGTTTTTAGTGGAATAAATTCTGTGCTCTATCTCCCCAACGTTGGTCCATTTTGTTCAGAACAAGAGTCACGTGAACCCGGTTGAAGAACCACAACGCTGCGTCCGATCGCGGTTTCAGCTTTTGTTGCAGCAACGCGGCGCTCCAGGAAGCCGACGAGATTTACGGCCGGATGAGGAAATGGGAGACCATGTGTTCCATACGTTCAGGCCGCCGCAGACGGCAAAACTAAACAACAACCAGAAAAAAGAAAAAAAAAAAGCTTCTGTTTGCTCCTTTCTTTCCTTCTGAGAGCGTCAAAGACAAAGCAAACATCAGCGCCTCGGACTTGTTTGCAGGAACATTCGGGCTCTTTGTTGGAGTCTTTGCTGTTCACCGAGTTCACTGAAACATATTCTTAATATTTCAGAAGGAATGCAGGTGATTTGCACGACAGCGTTAAAGGAAAACGCAGCGTTTGGTGCAGAAGCAGAGACAAGATGACTTTTCAGCTGCGTGTCACGATAATACAACACAAGACATAAAAAAATGGGTTTAAATGTGAAAAACTTGGTCACAAACATGAAAAATAACTTTCATAAACGACTGAGCAGGTTTGACAGGTTGCACCCCACAAACAAAAACATGGTGGACAGTTTGATCCAAGTGGAACAAAGTGCTGCAAATTCCTGTTAAAATATAAATGCTTCTAGGAAGTGTTTTTGTTTAGTGAGCTCAACGTTTGGACGCAAAAAAGTGGGACAATTTAAAAAGGAAATATCCTGGAAAGTTTTTGATATGTTGAACTAAAATTCAGACATCATTGTAAATATCCAGAGTTTGTTCCTGATGATTGGAGACGGAATAACGTCTCCCAGACCCTTGATGTCAGGAGGGGAGGCTCTAAAACAGGGGTGTCGAACTGCGGCCCTCGAGGACCAGGATTGGAGACCCCTGCTCTAAAACAAGCCCACTTGCCATCTAATTACTGCTCATCATGACAGAACCGAGGAAGGCCGAGGACCTGCCTGCACCACGGAGCAGCTCAGCGCTTTGAAATGCGCCCGGAGCTGCACATGCGTCCGTGTTTACAGCTTTCATCGCCTCGTCCGCCTTTCATCCGCTGTTGCTGCTAATTAATATCTGGTTTTATCTCTGCGTGCATCGTCAAATTAAGTCATCGCACGGCGGCCGACGCCAACAAGCTGCAGGACCGAACTCGAGCGGGCACGTCTTCTGTTTGTTTTACCGTTTGTGCCGTCGGTGCCAAAGTTTCATGGCGAAGCTTCGATGAGCGACAGACGAAAGGCGGCTCGGGCAGATACATCAAAACACACGGCAGAGCGTCGACTTTTTTCTTTTTATTTGTGTCTGTTGGCGGATTTCAGTGTGAACGTCTGGAGGGGAATTACAAAATTAGCTCCTTTGTGTCTAGCTTCAGTCACTCGGCGGCCACACACACACACACACACACACAGTCAGAAAAATGATTTATATACACTTAAAACGTGAACACACACACTCAGCTGAAACACTCCATGCTGGCCTTGGCTCGCTCCATCTCGTGCAGGAAGTTATAAAACTGAGGCAGCGTCAGTTCTGGAAGGAAAGAAAACAAAAGGAGACAAATAGAAAAAGTCCCAGTGAAGCTTTTTTACTGCTTAATATGAGCTGCAGTGATGATACATAATAAACAAATATAATATAAAAACAAGTGTGTTTCATAAACACTGATCAGCAGCTTTTCACATCCTCGAGCTTTTACTTTGAAAGTGCATCATACATCAGCAGCACACCGAGGATCAGACCCTCGAACAAACCGTCACAGCTCAGAAACTAGAAGTCGTATCGAAATAATTCTTTCAGCGTGTGAAGCAGAATCTTGTTGTGAACATTCTGATGTATTTTCATGTCCAGACTGTGTTTTATACAGATTTGGTGGCAGGTTAGAGAAACTCACTGTTTCTGGTTTTCATAGTTTAGAGCTCAGATATAATGGGAGTCAATGAGAGTTTTGGTGGACTCTCTGAGCTTTGAGGTGATTTATGAAGAAACCATGAATCCTACAGCAATGAGACTCACACTGGGTGGAAGAGGACAGAAATACCTACATTTAGTATAAAGTGTTCATGTGGAGGAGAAACTGTGACAATGAGACGAGGTTAACGTACCTCTTTCAAAAAATGCTTCTGGTCAAAATGAAAGAAAAATTCCAGATTTCAAAAAATTCACAACATTTAAACGGTGACTGTGTAAAAACTATAAAAGACATCAAAACACGGATTTAGAGGAATAATATTCAAAGCCTTGGGAACCGTTGAAACTTCGAATTAAGTTTCTGCTGTAAAATCTGTCGGAGCTACAGAGATCCAAAGACGGCTGGATTTGGCGGTTGTCGGACCGACTTCCCATTCATTTCAATGGGGATTTTTAACGCAGTTTTTTTTAAAGAATTTTATTAAAAAATGTACGATGCATCACTACGAGAAGTCCCAGCGCACCGCTCCTGATCGAACCACACGTTTTCATGTTTACGTGGGTTTTCTTAAAGCTGTGGGACGAGTTAGGTGCTGAAAATCATGTCAAGAAGAAAAGTTTTACGACGTCAAACTGGATTTATGTCAAACTGGCACATTCCCACCAATCCTCTGCGCTTCAAAAAGCAAGAGAAATTATTAAAAATGTCCTGTTTATCAGCCAGAAAACAACTTTCCAGTCGTCCCTTGAACTCATCAGGTGAGTTTTTGGGGAAAAAACAACAAGTCTGAGCTGAAATCGTGACATTTTAAAACATAAACTGTGCAAAACAAAACAAAGCGTCGAAGGTAAAATCAGAAGACATCAGACGTCCTGAACGTCTGTCTCTGATGAAGGCTCACCCATGTAGACGTTCTCCGTGGAGTTCCCCTTTCTGACCACCAGCTTCAGCTGCAGGAGGAACAAAGTGCGTTTAGCAGAAGTGAACAAAGAGACGAGCGACGGGTGAGTTCGCTGGAGCTCCGTACCTGCAGGAAGATGTTTCCCACTTTCTGGATTTCGCTGGTTCCAACCGTCACTGTGGACAGAAACACGCCGTCAGAAAGTTCTCAGATTCCTCCTCAGTCACACATCAGCACATTCATGGATTAGGAACGTTTTGTACATTTAAAGCTCGACATAAACGAGAGTCTGTGCAGTATTAGTACTTCAATGTCAGTATTTATACTCACGAACGAATCTGCGTGACACCATCAAGAGGAATTTATCTGAAGTTGTGCTCGTGCATATTTGGGTTCTGTTTTGTTTTTTCTACTGATATTTCTTCAGTGTTTCCTCTTTGCTGCTGTATTAATGCAAGTTTCTCCACTGTGGGATCAATAAAGGCTCATCGTACCGCATCAGAACATCCAGAATTATTCAAAATTAGTCCAAAATGTCGCCAAAAATGACACAAATCTTGTCAAAAATTAAATAAATTCGTCCAAAAATGAGTCAAACTTGTCCAAAATATTTCAAAAAATTGTCTCAAATGACTCAACGTGACCAAAATAATGCAAAGTTATTCCAAAATTACTCAAAAATCAGTCATGAAAGGATCTGTGTAACACCACTGACATGTGACATATTATTTTAACATCCAGACGAGTTTATTAGATGATCTGAACTAGTACTTATTTTATTCTGTTTATTTTTTCGACTGATGTCTCTTAAATGTTTCCCCTTTGCTGCGGTAATAATGCACATTTGCCCTCAGAGGGATCAATAAAGGCTCAACGTATAGAATCAGAATGTCCAGAATACTTTACATTTGTCCAAACTTGTACAAAATGTCACCAAAATTACACAAATCTTGTCAGAAACAACAGAAATTAGTCTAAAATGTCTACAACGTTCCAAAATTGACACAAATCCTTTAAAAAAATATGTGCAAATTAGTGCAAAAATGCTTTAAAAAAATGGTCTAAAATTATTTTATGGATCCAAAATAATGCAAAATTAGTCCAAAATGACTCAAAAATCAAAATGAAAGGACCTGAGAAATTGTTATTTCCATCCAGAGATGTTTGGACAACCTGAACCATTTCTTTCTTTCTTTCTTTTTGTTTTTCAACTGACATTTCTTAGATGTTTCCCCTTTGCTGCTGTAATAGATGCAGAGGCGTTCTGTTCCCGGCCGAGGCCTTCAGGAGGCCGTCGGGCCTCCAGCGCCTCCACTGGACGCAGCCGAGTCGTCTGGGTCGACCTGCAGAGACGCGTCTCTTTGTTTCTGGCTTCTGAAGCTTCTGTGTGTCAACAAACAGCACCGAGACACTCCCCGTCCATCCCTTCAGCGTGACCACGAGCTAACGAGATGCTAACGACGGCCGGATTAGCATTTCTATCGGGTGTGTAAATAAATAAAGACAGCATCGGTCTGCTGCGGCACCAAAACACAGCAGAAGTTAGGCCTCCGTCAGAGGACCGAGCACCAGAAATAGACTCCAGTCAACCTGTAATTTAGCTGAACGTGAAGCTGACCCACCTCCAAACTTCCACTCCATGTCCACCAGCTGGTTGACCGTCAGCGTCTGTCCCAGAGCCAGTCGGCACAGAGCGGCCTGGTGCTCGGCCCACTGCCAAAACAGCAAAGAGACGCGTCAGACGGACTGGTGGAGGCGATTCTGGAGGATTAGCTGCACTTCATGGCACAGAAAGCAATATAAGGCTCAACATCAATGAAAAAAACAATAAAACTACCTCCTGGACGGATGTTAGAGACACATTTATGAATGTTATTAACGAGGTTTTCATGAAGGAGGACGTCGAAATGAACCTCAAGTCTCCTGAAGACGTCCTCAAAGAACAACAACAAACCCTGTAAATAAAATCCCATAAAAACCTGAAAACCAGGCAGCAAAAGTTCCAGAAAAATATGTGAAAATGGTGGAATATATTTAAAAATAAATAAAGAAAAATGATCATTTAATAGAAAAAAAAGGATAAACAACAAATATAAATATAATAATCGTAATTTTAAAATGCCATTTTTTAGTCCTTAATACACACAATATTATTTAAAGTTTAGTTATTAGACTATTTTTTTGTTTACAGTCAAGAAGTGGATTAAAACTTAAAAATCCAACAACAACAAAAAAACAACTAAAAATCTGGCAGAAAAATACATTAAAATGGTGGAATACTTATAAATAAAAATAGAAAATGATCATTTAATAGCAACAAATGTTAAACAACAAATATAAATATAATAAAAAATAATATTTGCCATTTTTCAGTCCTTATTATAGATAATGGTATTTAGACATTTAGCCTTTTTTGTTTGTTTACAGTCAGGAAGCAGAATAAATCTTTAAAATCTTATCTAAAAAAACAAACAACCAAAAATTGGCAGCAAAAAAAAGGGAAAAACACTATTTGTATAAAGATTTTTGTTATTTACTGTTTCAGCCTGTTTGTTTATTTTTAATGTCAAAATTTAAATTAATACTTTTTAAAATATATATCATAAAATAATAATATTGAGGAATTTTATAGATTTTAATTCTAGTTGTAAAATTTTATGAACAAACCCTGTAAAAGGCAAATGATGTCTGATTCAAACTGGTGTTTCTCTACAGTTATTATATATTATAATTAATATTTTTTCTGTGATTATTTAACATAAATATTGGAAAAAATAAACTTTTTTTTCACAGTTTGAGTGTAATCGTTATGATGCTACCTGCTGTGAGAAGTGAGCCGCCTTGTCGTCTCCGAGTCCTGAGGAGAGAACAGAAACAGGAATCAGGTTTGGTTTCACTTTCAGAACGTCTGTCGGCGACGGATGGAGGATTCAGACCTAAAGTCAGCAGGTCTTCTCTGATCTGCTCGGCCGTCAGGTTCTTCTTCAGAGCTCCTAAAGACGAGAAAAAAACAAACGTCAGTCGGTTTACAGCTGAACTTCCACCAGCGTCAGGTTCAAACCGTAGAAGACATCAAAACACTGATTTA